ACATGAGCATAACTATGCTATTAGGGCATTAATCTTATTTATTTATTTGTGTGGGTGAGACTTACAGTTGCTTTCACATAAACATAAATAATCTTTAGATGTCATCTTCAGATTGTTAAAATTGTTAATTGAATACAACAGTTAATAACCACAACAAAAACAGATATTAATTACTAATGCTTAACATTATTTTCCTCAATGCATTCTTCTATATAGCATAGATCTGATTAGAATGAGAATTTTACATATAAACCTGTAGATCACAAAATTATTTCAAGTGAAAAGTACCATTAATTTATATAATTTGCTATATGCCAATCCTTAAAGTTAAGCAAAGTCAAGAAACAGATACCACAGCGTCCTGTAATGCTACTTTATTGTTTTAGAGTATAATAACAGAATCTTGAATGGTTGTCCAATTTTCTCTCTATCTGCTATTATGCTAAACAAAATCAGGACAGTGTTATTATGAGCTTCTTTCTCTGATTTGCTTCCATCTCTGTACTGTATACTATAGCCTCGCTTAGCAATTATTCAACATTATGACAAACTACCAAAAAAGCTACTACCTGTCCTCAAAGATATAATTGCCACTCCTGCCCACATGATTATGTGATTGCATATTACATGCTTGGCAACTGACTCAAATGAGAATTGCAGCATCCCATGCTCACATGACCATAATTTGTAACATTTTTTTGCGCTGTTTTTCAAAAGAAAAGGGCAAACCCCGGCCCACCTAGGAGATACGTTGGATTTACTTAATGACCATATGGCTCATTTCATGAATGCAGGGACTCGTTTTATCAGCATCGCAAAAATAGTAAAACCAAGTCAGGTCATGTGATGACGTGCTTAATAACTGCAATGACTTATGACCAAGATTCTGGGCTCATTTGTGGGTGTAAATCAAGAATTACATATACTATTTTCTGAAAGTTTCTTCTTAATGGTTCATATTTTCTCTAAGTTGTCTTTAAATTCCTTTATATTACATATTAATGGAGTCTGGTCCTGCTTCTTTATCAAGATTCTGACCTCATCACCAAACCAGAATATGCATTATAATTATGCAGCCATAGACTTCAATTAATTTGATTCTGTATGCTAAACTGCATGAATACTTGCATGTTGGAACAGGTTATTATTTTATATTTCCTATCATTATTATTTTTATAATAATTTTATTTATATTTATAAATAACTTAGGACAGCGATGGCGAACCTTTTAGAGACCAAGTGCCCAAACTGCAAACCAAAACCTACTTATATATCGCCGGGTGCTGGGTAGGCATGGCCCACTGGGTGGGTGTGGATACGGCAGTCATGGCAGACTGGGTGGGCCTGGCCAGGATGGGCATTGCCACCTTGATGCTGCTCCTGGAGATGGATGCCTGTGGGGGCCGCGCCGGGGGAGATCCAGGGGGTCCCTGGCAGGTAGGGCGGAGGGTAGAAGGCTCATCCTGCAGGGGAAGGCAAGGCGAGGGAGGGGGCAGTGTGGGGATTAGGGTTAGAATGCCACTGCTTTCCCCCCAGGATGGAGCACCCTGCCGTGGTCCAGTGACAGCAGCAAAGCTCATCCTCCCCACTCAAACAGCCACCAGCGGCTCCTGGGCTCCATCCGAGTTGAAGAAAGCAAAGGCGTCACAGTGGGATTGCTCTCAATAAGGCGGGTGCACACGAGCAAGCAATGCCCCTGACTCTTATTGTTTGAGAGCAATCCTGCTGTTGTGCCTCTGCTTTCAACTTGGATGGAGCTGAGGTACCCAAGCTGCTGCACTGCCTGCCCCTGCCCCCTATGCCTCAGGTCAGCACAACCAGCAGCTTGCTCAGGTCCATTAGGCTGCTGCTGCCAAGGAGAAGAATAGTGAGGTTTTGAGCCAGTCAGCCGGGCAGGCAAGGAATAAGTCAGTGGCTAGCTGGCTGGGGAGGAGGAATAATAGCTGCTTGGGGGGATTTGCCAAGCCTCAGGGCTGCAACATTGGCAGCTACCCCCACCCAGCCCATTTCCCCAGTTCCATTACCGGCCGCAGCTCCCTCAGCGACCTCCCCACAGCCCTCACCATCAAGTTTCCATTATACAAGCTTCCTGGAGCTAAGGAGAAGTGCAGTTACTGAGCCGCCAGTAACTGTCTGGTGGGCGATGTTGCCTTCTGCTTTTCCTGCTGTGGCATTGGCTGATGGTGTTGCCCTCCTGAGAGGAGGGTGCGGTGATTGGTTGGCAGCCATGCCACAAATGGGGATTGATCATCCCCCAAACCCCACCACTGTCAAAGGAGCAGGAGGAATGGGGGAAAAAAAGGTAAATTGGCTGAGCTGGCCAGGCAACGAAGGAGTCTCTTTGCGAGCCTGCTTAGCCTGCATCAGCCTTGCTCTCCACAGCGTGCTGCAGCTGATCTGAAGCATGGACAGCACGGCTGACGGGTGAGCACATAGCAGATGCACACAGACTCTGCTGTTTTCAGTGGCGCTTCTGATCAGCTGCAGCAATCCTAACCCCATCGCTGCCAAAGGAAAAAAGCTGAGTCTGTGTGTGCTCCTGCCTTGCCCGTATCAACCAGCTGCAGCACGCCATGGAGAGCCTGATTGCAGCTGATCAGAAGTGAGGGAAACACTGGTGGCAGCAAGCAATCCATGCAGGGTGTGTGTGTGTGGGGGGAAAATGCTGGCAGCAGTGAGGCGATCCATGCAGGGAGGGAAACGCCAGTGGCAGCAAGCAATCCGTACAGGGGGTGGGGGGGAGAACGCCGGCAGCAGCAAGGCAATCCGTGCAGGGAAGGAAATGCCAGCGGCAGCAAGTGATCCATGTGGGGGATGGGGGGAAACACCGGCGGCAGCAAGGCAATCATATGGGGAGGGAAATGCCGGTAGCAGCAAGCGATCCATGTAGGGGTAGGGGGGAAACACCGGCGGCAGTGAGGCAATCCATATGGGGAGGGAAATGCTGGTGACAGCAAGTGATTCGTGCAGGAGGTGGAAGGGAAAACACCGACAGCAAGCTATCCGTGCAAGGGGGGGGGGATACACCAGCAGCAGCAAGCAATCTGTGTGGTGGCCAGCAGAAGCGAGATCGTGGCAAGAGCGATCTTTTTCTCCATTCCCTCCCTGGCCCTTGAGCTCAACACCTTTTTCTTTGTGCCATGAGTGAAAGTGCTAGCGCACGTGGAGAGGGGGAGGGGAGAAGCCTGGCCCCGCTTCCCTCTGGGGCAATGTCATGCATGCCCACAGGGATGACTCTGCGTGCCACCTGTGACACGCGTGCCATAGATTCGCCACCACTGACTTAAGACAATGAACATTCCTAACATTCCTCTTTCCCCCCATAACTAATGAGTTGAGTTGGGTTGAAAGAGAGTGGCCCAAAGATACCCAGCTGGCTTTGTGCCCAACACAAGACTGAATTCATGGTATCCCAGTCTCTAGCCTGCTGCCTTTATTACTAGACCAAAATGCATAGGTTTTTGGATGCAATATGATTACTTTCACCATGCACTTTCAATGTATGTATCTCCTTTTTAAAAAATCTCTTTAAGCTTCCATAATCATCATTACCAGAAAAGTTTGTACCTGAAAATTTGCAACTAATCTGTTTTGCCTGGCATATTTCAGTTTAATAATTTAATATCAGGAATTCTGATAGCTTTATTTTTATTTTTATTAAACAAAGAAAATAGCAACTACAGAAACATACAATTTCTTTATCCAGTGTCTCTCTTCCAATTTATATTCCAGATGAGCTAAAGTAAACTATCTCAGCCAAAAAGCCATGCCAGCAAAGTTCTTTCTGTGATACTGTCGATTTTCTCTTACCACATAACCCATCATATCTAGATATCTCACAAAATATTTTGTACTATATCAGATTTATTCTTTTACATGGGACCTCTGATTCCATCTTCCTAATCCCTTTATAGCTATTTTTTATAATTGTCTTGAGAAAAATAATTTTTATAAATTATAGTGTCTAAATCTGGAGAATGTATTAATTATTTCTCTCTTTCCACATTCTAGAGTCTTTTCTATTACTTTTCTCAGCATGATATGTGGTGGCTGAATCTATTGACCTTGGAAAATGACATGTTTTAACCCAACCAAGGGCCGAAATCTAAGTCCCTTATTTCTTTCTCTTTAGTCATCCTCTATTTCTTTCAACTTCTTATATTTTCTGAATATTTAGTATCAGTGAACTATGTCTTCAAATGATCTGACTTCTTTCCCCAAAACGCCCAAGTACTTCTCAAGTGAGAGAGTTTGAATCAATTCAGTCATATCAACTGAACTGTCATTTCTGCTACTGAATTTACGTCCCTTTAGGACTAATCTTGATTTTTCTGGTGGCTTTCAGTACGTGGAAAAATGATAGGAATTCTGTTTGGCAGTCATGGGGCACTGAATTATATATGTAAATCAGAAGTTTAGTTAATATCCCACACAAGAATTTTCTGTAAGATCAGAATTAGCCAAGACATATTTTGATATGGAAATAAAATTACATCTGTCACCTCTCTCTCATTTGACAAGTATCAACAACTCAAAACAATAATATTTTGACAAGGATTTAATAGTGCTCAGAAATTCAGCTCGTGCAAATGTAAAGGATAAACACAGGGCTGTTTCTTTCTAGTTCTAAATATGGCAGTTAAGCTAGTCAATTTGGACTATAATTCATCTGTCAAACAAATGCAAGGGCAAAGCAACCACTGACTTGAATGTCACTGAGACTATTTCTTGCTTTCAAAACATTTTGTAATCTTTCTGCATTTTTTAATAAAGAAATTCAAAAGCTCATCTGAGTAAAAAAAACTTATTTTCCTACATGTATATAAAATGGGACCATTTCATCTCACACAAAAAGAGACAAAAATCAGATAGGGATTTCCAGATTTGAATTATTGATTAATTGATTAATATTTCTGATTACATGCTATATTATGTTATGACATGACATGAATGATGTTTAACAAAAAGAATTAAATTGGAATATATATCAAATGTCTTACTGCAGCTTGTCGGTGGGTATTGGAGAGTATTCCATGAATCTTCACCTTATCTTTTTCCATTTTATCAATGTTTACCCACAAATCTCGGCTGGAAGAATCAAATGGGCCATATATCCTTGAAGTGTAATAATTGTGATCCATGTCTTCCTGGGGGGAGAAAAAGAAAAACATAGATTTGATCTTATTTGTCAGTCTTTTTTGAAATATTTAGAAACAGATGCCAAACTCTTATTTCTTTCATCACATAGTCTTCTTCTTCATCATCATCATCACCATCAATATCATCTTAGCCATTGTCTATCCACTGCAGGATGAAGGCCTTTCTGCATGTTTCCAACCAATATGATTCTGAGCTTTCTTTTGCCAATTGGGCCTGCAATACTTGCGGATGTCGTCAATCTATTTTATTTTAGGTCTCTTTCCTGGACGCTTTTTTATCAAATGGATCACATAGATTAAGAAAAGAAAAATAAACAACAAACAGAGAATTGAATGCTGGAAAAGAACAAACACCCTACTTGTGATTTTATAAATGTAGTTTTTACAATCTAAAAATTGGAATTAATTGTAATTACATATACAGAAAAATGTGGCTTTGGATTAAGAAATACAGTAATTGATAAATCTTAACTGAAATCTTTTGTTTTAGTGTGGATGACAGTTTTTTCCTTTATAAATGCTGTATTTTAAATAACATTTAAACTGTGATATTATAGACATGTTGGGCCATTTCTTTGTTATTGTTCAAATATTTGTACCAAAGTGGGATTGCCATTCCCAGTTTTATCTGCCTGTCCAATAATACCTGGGAGAGCAGACTCTCTATTGCTCTTATGGAAAATGTCACCCAAAAAGAGCAAGGAGGTGACTCTTCTCAACTGTTGCCATTATTCCCTCAGAAATACAAATGATTGCTACTACTGGTTTCTAGAAAGGCCATCAGTATTTGACCATTCCAGCTGGCCCAGCTTTAGGGATATTGCACTTTTCTCTCTCTAACATTTTATTTGTTTAATATAATTGATATTTCCAGATAGATTCCAAGGTACAGCATAAATTTTCATGGACAAGATCGCTATTTTGCAATTTCTGTATTTTAAGAATCACAACCACAGTGCATGTGTCTCACACATACCATTTGGACATTCACATGTCAATTTAAAAAGTTTGGGCATATGTGTGTGTGTGTGTTTGTATTTCTTATATACATATATTATCCATCATTGGTCTTTTTAAAGAAACAAAATAAATCAGGAAATCTGCAGTAAATCATTGTTTTTACAGGTAGTCCTCAGCTTACTACAGCAATAAGGACTGGAATTGCTGTCCCTAAGTGACACAATCATAATCTGATTGTGTTGTTTAGCAATAGCAGATCCAAAAGTCCCAGTGACTGCTGTCAACCAAAGACCATGCTTAATGTTGAGGATCCCATGTGATTGTGACTTCTGACTTCCTGACAGGTTTCCCACTGATTTATGGTATAGAATGATGAAAATCTTTGGCCATTGTGATAGTCGGAACTCTGAGGACCAGTTGTAAATACCAGTATTCAGTTCACCAAATAAATGTGCATAACCTACAGACTATATATCCTGTATAGGCTAATGTGATGTAAGAACTTCATTTTAACAAAAGAAATACCAACTTACAGAACAAGTAGCAGAGTATGCAAAATAAGTTGACATTTTAAAATCTATTGTAGAATAAAATTTGCATTTTGGTGAGCAGGATAAGCACGTAATGCAAGCCTTCGACTGGTATCATCAATTGCTCAACTTTCTTAATTTCGTTTGAACATTCACCAAAAGTTCAAACTAACAAACAAAAGCAACCCACCACTATATTACAGAAATTACTCAGCTCTATCCATATTATTTTCCATTCCCGAATATGGTTTAGTAATAAGATTTCTGAAAATTTTCTAAGAATCAATTGCAGTACAAAATCCAGCTAATACATATTTTGACACACACAATGACCTCAATAAAACTTTAGCATCTGCTTTTTGAGAAGCAATTGATTTATTCTCAAATTTCTTTTCTTGCAATCTTTCTTGGACTAATTCCCTCACCATACAACACAATGTGGATATAATGCAAAGAAATAGTATGATCTGGCAGGGCATGGAGAAACTCTATGCTATGTACAGTGTATACAACATAATTTAAATGTAAGAGAGACCGTAATAAAAATACAAATATTAAAATTCTCTTGGCAACTTAAATCAAGATAATCATAGTTGGTTTGTCTGTTTGTCTATTCTCTCTCTCTCTCTTTGTAAAAATAAGAGCAGTGTTAATTTGCTCTAAGATATTGCAAAAAGTTGATGCAGAATAAAAAGAGACACTTTTTCTTCTTTATGCTTGCTTCATTTTTGACATTTATACCTCCAGGTGCCACTAATATTAAAAGTTGTAGTCAACAATACCTCATATTAGAATGAATAGCAAGATGAATCTGCCAGTCATATAGTCATAATGTGAATTTTATTTTACACTAGTTTTTTTGAGATACAACTTTTTCACTCCTGCCTTTAAGATGAACAACCTAAAACAGATTTCCAAAAGAAGCATATAAAAAGCATGTAATTTCATTTCATATGAATAGTATGCTTCAAAAGTAGATTAAATTGTTAACAATACAATGAATGTTTCTTTAATTTCTCTTTGAGATAGGCATAGAATTTGGTTTATATCCCTTCCCAAATGCTGGCAGACGATAGTAACATAAACAATGCTTAATAAAAGGTTTGGTTTTGTTATTAAAATTCTGAGAATCCTTAAGTATCAACTTGCATTTTGATACTAGAAATCAAATATCAAATTAATCATACTCAAGTAAAAAAGATACAGTACAGGTAATCCACGACTTACAGAAGTTCGTTTAGGGACTGTTCAAAGTTACAACAGCCTGAAAAAGTAACTTAATTCTGTTTTTCACACTTATGACCATTGCAGCATCCCCATGGTCATATGATCAAAATTCAGACACTTGGCAACTGACATGTATTTATGATGGTTGCAGTGTCCTGGGGTTATGCAATCACATTTTACAACCTTCTGACAAGCAAAGTCAATGGGGGAAGCCAGATTCACTTAAAAACATATTACTAAGTTAACAACTGCAGTGATTCACTTAACAACCATGGCAAGAAAGCTCGTAAAATGGGGCAAACTTCACAACTATTGTCTCACAATTGGACTCAATTGTGGTCTTAAGCTGAGGACTAGCTGTATTCCTGACAGTTAACTAATGCAGGGTAGCAAAAACAGAAAGTAATACATTTGAGTTGGAATGGTAATAGAAGACATCCTAGAGCAGGGGTCCCCAACCCCCAGTCTGTGGACCAGTATTGGGCTGCAGCACACCAACAATCGATCCGCACAAACAAGCAAAGCCCCATCTGCAGGATGCAGGCAGCACACAAAAACACGCATCCTCCGATCTGTGGAAAAACCTCTTTCCACGGAACTGATCCCTGGCGCCCAAAAAGTCAGGGACTTCTGTCCTAGAGGTTAGATTAGTTTAATTGCCTACAAATGTAACTAAATCTTCAATAACTTTCTTGTTAAAAAAAATGATCACAGCCGCGAGGCTGTTAATTGGACAATATTGGAAGAAGGAATCTTTGCCTACATTGCAGGAATGGTTTTTTAAAGTAGCTTATCTGGCAGAAATGGCAAAGATTTCGGCTTTCTTAAAGCAACAAACGCAAGAGAAGTTTTTTGCTATCTGGGACAAATGGATAAAATTTATACAATTTAGATTGGGTATACAAAAATATTATATAGCTTTTTCATAAGTTTTATTTTTATATATATTATAGATATCTTTTTTATATATATAAATATAAAGTTTTTAATTTAATTTTTATTTTTATTTTTATTTTTTTTTTTATTATTATTTCTTAAGCCTATATTCTGCTCTGGGAAGCTCAGGGGGGGGGAAGGGAGGGTTTTTGGGAGGGGTGTGGGGTGGGGGGTTTTTTTTATATGTATTGTTTAATTTTTTTTTCTTTTGTATATGTTGTTTTTTGTTCTGTATTGTTCTTGTTTTTTTTTTGTAAAATTTATAAAACTTTTAATAAAAAAAAAAAAAAAAAAAAAAAAATGATAAAATGTAAACAAAACAATGTCAGGCTTAAGTTGCACATTTTTTTTATTGTTTCATGAAGCAGAATGACCTATCTGGAAATCCAAGAGCTAAATTCTCAATACCTTAAAGTTAAATAATCCAAGCTGCATTTGAAGCAAGAAGTGAAGGACTGTAAAAAGACGACGATGATGAACCACATTCAGCTCTCAGTTGTATTTAGGAACTGTTGATTTGAGTATGAGAACCTGGCTTGTTTTGTCTTATTTTCAAAAGTATTTTCCAACAGTTTAGATCTGCTGCTACTAGGGCCACCATTTCTCTCTAATAATAATGAAAGGTTCAGGGACGTATTTCCAAATTTCCTGTTCCTTCAGAGGCAATGCAAGAGTTTCCAGAGTAGGTAATTCTTTAAAGCTGAGAACTACTCATCCAAGAGTGGTATTAACTATTCAGAACCATATCCTAAAGAATGACTTGAGCTATGTTCCTGAGTATCCATATTCTTCAAGGATGTAGTGCTCTCTGTGCCATAACCTGTAGATTATCATTTGCCAATGACAAAAAGGTAGCCTTCTTGCAATTGGCCTTCTCTTGCAGTTGGACTTCTCTTTTGTGAAACAACATGTCTTCTATATAAGTAATCCCATTCTAATATACTTTAACTGTCTCTTAAAATCCATGCCAATATTAGTCTTCCTGAGCCATTTACTCTCCCTAGCATCTCTCTTTTCATGGTAGACTTTATTCTGTATCTTTCTGTGATTATTAGAAACATTTTTTTAAATGAAACCTAGCCTAGGAAATCAACAAATTAACAAAGTCAACATGTAAATAAATCTGCTATAATTACTCATTTTAAAATGAGTTTCATTTTGCTAAACATGGAGCCAGTAAATAAACTATTGGTCTGAGAATAAAACCATTAAAGCAATGACTAAAAAACAACTCAATAGAAGTAACTGTGAGAAGGATCTCGGAGTCCTACTGGACAACCACTTAAATATGAGCCAGCAGTGTGCTGCAGCTGCCCAAAATACCAATGCAGTCTT